CGTAATGCATGGCATTGGTAGCTCACTGTGGTTTGGTACACTTCCCTAAGGGTTAGAGTCCACATCTTAACTGTTACACAGTTCTGATATTTCATTTCCTAGTAGCAAATCAGAATCGCTTCACCACTGCGTGACAAGAGAGGGACTGTCTACCCTTTTGAGTCCCTGGATACCAGGCACAAGTGATCTAATTCCTGTCTCTTGCCACAGGAATAACTATTCCTCTCTTGTCATGTGGCAGGAATTGGCAGAGCATCTGTGACACAGACTCAGCCTCCTGGCTGGGTGCCGGGCAAGGGCGACTCTGGAAATTCTATGCTTCAGGCCAGGCTGTAACCCCGATGCCTTGCGAAGGTGACCGTCACACTGTCTTGGATAACAACGGCACTGAGTCATTTGCCACATGTTAATGAGAATCCAAGCCACAACTTCAGCAGCGTGAGGCACGCACGGTTGATGGTGTCAGTGTGTGTCAGGTTTAAGATAAGCCAGCCCTCGTGTTAGACTAACAGGCCAGCCTGGTAATGAACATCTACTTACATTTAAACTGTTAACTGGGATTTTAAATTTGAAGTTCAGTCTAAATTCTTATAAAACATTGGAAGCATTTGTAGAACTTGACTTGTTGTATTTTAATGTGTTAAATTTCTAATAAGTGTTTAAAAGATTTTCTTTTTCCTTTTCTTGTTCTTTCTGTCCCTGAGACTACTGGAGGACTTACAATGTGATTACAAATTAAATGTACAAATGCAGCTTAATCTCTTTAAAGAGGTTTAATTAACAAATATGCAGACAGACCAAACACGAATCAGTGTCTCCCTCTCCCCCGGAAGCAGATGGCTACCGTTTGCCATGCTTCTTTATAAAATAAGAATATTAGTGAAGCTGAATTTAAAAGTTTAAGGAAGAACTAGGCTTTTACATTGTATGTAACTTTACTAGATTAAACACTATTTTATGAATTTTTAAATGCTAAAGTAAGCTCTGAATTTTGTACACAAGCATAACCCTTGAGGACCTCATCCATTTTCCATCGAGTGGGGGTGGAGTCAAAGTTTGGAGTGGGTTTTAGGGAATTCTGTGCTCCGATCTGAAGCTCAGGGAGTTAGGAAAGTTCCCCTCAAGCCCCAGGCTCTGGCCCCCAACTGTCCATCTTCCTGGCTGAGTCTTAAGTCGACTGCACCGCAGCCATATTTGAAGAAAACATCTCCTCTGTTAATTTCCAGCCGGCCGATCCTGTCTCTCTGAACCACCTCGCTCTCTGCACCCTGGCTCCGGCCGGCCCATGCCTCTCCACAGCAGGTCCCCCTGCCCCTCCCCACTGCCTCCTTGGCTTTCCTGTCTGTCCCTGGGATTCAAAAGAGGCTCTAGCCCAGAGTCCACGAGGCTCCTGACCCCTGGGCCTCAAGCAGCCCGTGTTGCTCTTTGAAACTTCTATTCTGTTCCTCGTGGTCTGGCACGTTTTGACTTTCTGCTTTCTGTCTGTGTTAGTCACCGCCATCACAGGATGTGGTGCACACAGATGTCTCCTTGTGCCTGCCTGAACGTGTCTGGTACCCCAGCAGATGTACAGTCTAGGGTCCCCAGGCGTGGGTATGAACCTGGGAGGAGCCTGTGGGAAGCAGTGCTCTACTTACTGATGAGAAAGCCAGGCTCCCTCAGCCGGCACTGCAGGGCTCATTAGGAACAGTCAGGTCTCTGACCCTGGGCTCCCACATGCCTGACTGGCCTGTGGTAAGGCAGGAGAGAGAGTGGGCAGGCATCCAGGGAGTGGGTGTCCCTCATCACTCTGCTGAGCTCCGGAATGCACGCGTGGGAATGCATCTCCACATTTATATGCTAATGAACCTGGAGGTGGGGTCGCTGTGAGGGAATCAGCATCAGATGAGGTCATGAGGGTGGGGTCCATGGAGCGTTTGTGGTTGTTCACGAAGAGAACCCCGAGTTGGCCTGCGTCTTATCTTGCCATGTGGTGCCCTCGGCCATGAGACAGCACAGCATGAAGACACTCCCCAGAGGCTGGTGCTGGGACTTCTCAGCCTCCAAAACCATGTAAGCTTCTGTTCTTCATAAATCATCCAGTCTTGGATGTTTTGTAGTGGTGACAGGAAGTGGAATAAGATGGCCCTCGAAGGTTGGAGAGGGCTTTGTCAGGAAGAGGATGCAGGGCTGCTCCAAAGCAAAAGACCCAGCAGACCCGAGTGTTGGCACTGGGTAGCATGGGAGGGCTAAGGTCATCACTGGTGTCAGGACCAGGGCTGGTGACTGGTTGGTAGTGTACAGGAACATAGAGAGATTCAGAGACTGGGTGAGACCAGTGAGGGATGCAGAGGACTCTGCCCAGGATTTGGGGTAGGGCGGGAGGCTTCACAGTCTTCTGGGTCCAGGGTGACCTGGCTCACAGTCACCAGGGAGGAGTGGGACGGACTGAAAGAGCACCCATGCCATCAGTAGCTGAACTGAGATGCTGGAGGAGGGCCAGGGTACCTGAGCAGGGCATCTCGGAATACAGGTGCTTCCTGTGGAAGCCGCCCTGCCTCTGCATGGCCTTTGTGTTCTTTACCCACTGGTGGATGGTGCTGATCAGAAGCGTGGCCCTTCCTTTAAAGAGAGGAGACCGGTACGGAGCCATATCTATGATTCCACACGGGTTGGGAACCCCTATTGTTCACAGAGGAGGAGCTTCTGGCCTCTGAGCAGAAGTCTGACCCCGCTGTTACAGACCTGAGTCTCACCACAGCCCTAGGGCAGCTTGCAGTGGAGAAGCCCTCAGAGCTGCTGCACTGGGAGGGAGGGGGGAGACACTGGGAGCCCCTGGAGGAGAGCAGGTCAGAGCGAGCAGAGGTAGCTGTAGCCAGGAGCTCTCCCAGCCTGGCCCGCATCGGCAGCTCCTGCAGGGCTTGGTAAACCGTGTCGGGAAGTCTGGGGAGGGCCTGGTGGTCCCAGCAGGCCCTCAGGGACTGGTGCCATGGCCAGGCCTGATGTCACCCTGAAGATGAACCCTGGGAACCCAGGCTCTACTGCTCTTTCTTTTCATTTAATGAAGAAAGAAAGGACTAAAAAGTGCCAGACACATCGAATTAACTTATTAGGTCCAGTTTCGGGGAGCTTCCTGTGCTCGTCTTAAAACCGAAGGCAGGTCAGTCTGGTGTTGTGGGGGATGCAGAGACCTGGGGTAGGACCCGAGGTTGACCAGTATCTCCTGGCAGTCTGAGGGGACAGGCCCTGAGCCTGGTCCTTTCCAGGCTGGCTCAGCCTGGTGGGCCCTGGGGACTGAGTCTTGCGGGCTTCCTGGAGAAGGGAAGAACCAGGTGACAGGGTGCCTGGGCCTTCTGTGCAGACCACAGGCCCAAATGAGGCTGGGCCGACTGATGGGGCAAGATGGCTCCTCAGGTCCCATATGTTTGCTCCCTATTCCAGTGCTGGTTGCCACCGGTAGAGACCAAGAGGTCATTTCCCACATGGTTGAAACTGACCGGGACAAGGGACAGGGGTGGTACAGGCAGGCCAGGCGCCCTGAGACCCTGCCCAGAGGGCAGCCAGCCCGAGTGGGAGGATGTGCACCCGCCCAGCCAGTTCCTGACCCTGTGCCCTGGCCTTGGACCACGCCCACCCGCACCCTGATCACCAAGCCACACCTGGGACATGCTAGGGCTGGGGCAGTGGCACCCTCTGCTCCCCAGGGAGGAGCCAGCAAGATGTGCAAGTCACCAGCTCAAGCAGGGCCCCTCCAGTGTCGCTGCTCAGCGGGGAGGGGCGCTGCTACCCCCACCCCTCACCCCATCCCCAGCTTGGCTGCCCGCTTCTCTCAAGCTTGGCTGTTCTGGGGGATACCCTCCAGCTTCCCCACTGGGGCCTTGACTGCTTCTTGCTTTTCTGGCCTTTTTTTGAAGGGGTTGGGATCTGATAGCTGGTAGGAAGTTGCTTAATTTTCCAGAGCTTATGACATGAGGGCGCAGCTGGGCGTAGGGGTGCCTGCCGGTGATCCTAAGACTCTGGGACGCTGAGGTAGGGACACCATGGGTTGGTGCCCAATTAGTCAATAGTGAGAACCTTTCTTGAAATAAAAATTAAAAAAGGAAGAGCTGGGGATTAGCTTAATGGGAAAGGCCTGGGCCTTTGTTCCCAGGACTGAGAGGGCTGATCTGAGCTGCACAAAACCGATCCATTTAGTCACATCACCTCCGTCCTGGTCAGTACCAACATGCCCTGGCCCAGGGTGAACTCGGAGGGACACACTGTACAGCGCAAAAGTGGAGTTTGCGGCGGGGTGTGGGGCCCCCAGCCGTTTGCTTTCACCCCATGCCTGGGCCCACCTGTGGCAAGCTCTGCTCCTGGCCCCCTTCAGGGAGGCTCCCGGCTGAGCTTACCTGAGGCTCTCCTCACCCTGGTGGGCCCCAGCCCGTAATTAACCTAATAAGGTGTCTGTGGTGCGCATGTCTGCTCCATGGCTACCCCGTAATTTGCCCGATCCCTCGGATAAGGCCTTTGCCTGGACTGGTTCCCACCCCACCACACCCCGTGTCTTGGGTGGGTGGGGCCGGTAATTGGCGTTGTTTTCCATGAGCGCCCCCCACCCCCTCTGGGTTCTGACAAGCCCAGAGCTCTAAGTTCACCCCTGGTACCAAGGTCACAGCCCCGTGGATGGGCTGTGTGGGAGATATTAGAGGAGGAGGAGGAGTGGCCACACCAGAGATGCCAACCTGCATCCCGTCCAGCCTCTGTCCAGTGATGATGTCCCAGGGATACTCTGGGGGTCACTGCCCCCCCCCCCCAAGTCCTATTGGATCAAGAACCTGGCTGGTTTCTGGCTACCCCTCCCCCTTGGCTACCAGGTCCCTCCAAGTCCCCTTTGTCCTGGGCCACAGTCCCCAAAGGTTGACTCTGGATCAGAGTTCTGGGCTCTGGAGGGCAAAGCCAAGCTAAGCCTGCTGGTGCCCAGGCACAGGAGGAGAGCATTACATCAGGACAAGGGCTCCTGTAGCAGGGCAGCCCTGGGCCCAGGGTAGGACTCACAGGCAGCCAGTAGAAGCCCTTCAGGGGCTCCTGCTCACCCACTGCCCACGTAGCAGCACTGTCTTTGATCCCCTCTGCAGGGTGGGGCTGCAGTCCTGTTGCCTTTGCCCTGGAGACAGCAGCCGGGAAATTCAGCCTTGCCCTGAGCTGAGGGTCCTGCATGTCTCCAACAGACTGGGCACCCCTCTCCTTGTCCCCATGGCGACAGGAAGGTGCTCCAGGAGGTCGAGGCTCATGCAGAGGCCGATAAAGACCCCTCTGGACCTGGCCCTCCCATTGGCTCCTGGGGAAGCTGACTCCCTTTCAAAGCCGGGGGCCCCTCCATGGAGGTTGGCATCTGCAGCCCCAGTTCTCTGCAGTCTGCCAAACCACCACATAATCCTCTCTGGTTTCCAGCACCGTCCTGCCCACGCAGGTGCTCAGGCCAGCCCCAAAGGTTTCTTGACACCCACTGCTCCAGTCCAGGCCCGGGCCTGCCCCCTCTGTTCCCAGAGGACATCCAAGGGCAGGGAAATCTGCGCTGCCCTCTTTCTGTGCTGGGCGAAGGACAATGGGTGGGTGAGTCAGAGCTGCCTCCCCGAGGCGGGGGTAGGTGTGCCAGGGTGCGGTGGCTGTGGGGCAGGGCAGCATCAGCCACCGGAGGGAGTGGCCTGTGGCCTAGGGCTCTAAACCCCTGCACTGCACGCCTGTGCTGCCCAGTCTGCCAGGCAGGGGCTTAGGAGCAGCCGAGGACCCGGCTCTGGGATCCAGCCCTGCATGCCAGGCTCCACACCTCGGTGCCTCTTTGTCTCCATGCTGGAGACTCCTGGGGACTTCAGGGTGGCTTCACTCTGCCCCTCAGGGCCTCGCCTTGGTGCTGCCAGTGAGGAGGGTGACCTAGAGGCCTGGCCCGTCATCGGCTCTGCTCTGGGGCTGAGTGAGGCTGGGGGGGTCCTCACTGTCCAGGCTGTCCAGGTGAAGGGACATTTCCACATGCATGCCTTTGTGGGAATCCATGAGTGAGCCGTGGGCAGGACAGATGACAGGAGACCCTGCCTTCACTTGCAAGCCTGCATTTGAGCTGGGAGACAATAAACACATCCGGGCTGAGCGTCCCTTAGCTGAAATGCCTAGGAACAAAAGTCTTTTCAGGGTTTTTTGGGGTGTGTGTGTGTGTGCTGGTTGAATACTTACGTATATACAAAGAGAGATGTCTGGGGAGAGACCCAAGTCTTAAAAACAAAATTTATTTATGTCTTATAGATACTTTATATGAGTGGGCTGAAGGTAATTTTATAAAATATTTTTAATGACATTGTGCTTATACCTTTCGTGATGTGGAAGTTTCCACGTGTGGCATCCCATCGCCAGGTAATTCCTGATTTTAGAATGCTCTGGATTTTGGGTTTTGGATTTGGAGTGTTCCACTTAGACTAGGTGAGTGGGTCCAGTGGCAGCCATGAGAGCACAAAACAGTGGAGAACCCTGGGGGTGGGGGAGACTGAGCTGTGGTTTAAACAGGTTGACGGGGGGGGGGGTCCCCTGGAATAGGTGACTTACGTACTGGCCTAGAAAAGTGAGTCTGCAAGCCTCGAGCATGGTTTTCCAGGCAGAGAGAACTCAAATGGGTCTCGCCTGGTGTGGTTGGGACAGCAGGACACCGGGATGGAGTCACAGGGGTAAGGAGGGGGACAGCGCAGGGAGAGTTGGTGGTAGGGCAGGCGCGTCCTGCAGGGACACGGGGAGCTCTTGGGGGTTCTAACAGAGGGGTGACGGCCCCTGCAGACTCCTCAGATGTGTGCCAAGTAGGGTGAGGGAACACCAGACAAAGCATGGATCCAGGAGACGAGTGCTGGATCTGGACCAAGGTAGGTGGCGCGGGGATTGCCGGTGGAGGATGCCCGTTGCCCTAGGGAGGCTGGCCGGCTGGCTGTGATGGGGACACTGGGCAGGACTGAGGGAGCAGCAGGTTGATTCAGCACCTGGAGTACCTCGAGCCCCTAATTCTTTTGAAAGGAAGAGGTTGGGAGGAGGGGCCCCATGCCACGTTGGCCATGCTGGAGACGGGGACAAAGGCATGGGCCAGGGAGAGGCCGTGGGCATGGGCTGGGCTGAGGCCAGTGACCAAGTGACCAAGGCCTAGAAAGCCAGCTCCCTGGGGGGAGGAGTGGTGGGTCGGTGTGCAGAAGACCCCAGACTGTCCGTTCACCACTGGAAGCCAGGCTCAGTAGTTACCTTCTGCCTGGGTGTCCCTGGACCCTGGTCCCCGGGCTGTCATATGGTCCGCCTGCCAGGGAGACAGGATCTGTGTCCCTGCAGCAGCTATGGCACAGGGAAGCCTGGGGTGGAGCTGGGAGGCAGGCCTGGCTTCTCAGCTTGTCACCAAACATGTATCTCTGCAGCTCACTTGCCTGGAATTCTCTCTATCCGGGCTGGCCCTCCCCAGGGAGGTACAGATTGCTCCAGCTCAGCCGATGGCAGTAAAGGGCCTGATCAAAACAAGGGATGCTAAAATGTGGGAAAAAAAGACTTTTTAAAATGTTTATATTGGCGGGACAGGGGAGGATATTTGTGAATTGTTTTCTTTCTCCAGTGGCTTTGTTAGTGTCATGTGCTCCGGCTGAACGGAACCCTGGGGACCCGGCAGGAAAGGCTGATGAGGGGCGGGGAAGGCTGCACGCAGGCCTGGGGAAATGAGCTGTTGGGCTTCGCTGTCCCTCGGCCACTCTGTGACTGACCAAGCTGACAGTCTCCTCTCCCATGGCGTCAACGGTCTGTCCCCGTCCGTCCAGGTTCTTGTAGCATTCTTTTGACTCTGGACCAATTTGGGACAAGATGTTTCGACCAAGCCTGGGTAACGTGAAAGGCTCCAGAATTCTTGTCTCCAGACTGGGAGGAGTAAAATCACAAGGAGATCTTGTGCCTCTGAGGGCTCCCCCATACAGTTCCCTTCCTTAATGATGGGATGTTTGACAGTGAGCTTGGCACATGGCTCTCTGGACCAATTTTTCCCAATGGGAGTGAGTGAATGGCAGTGTCACAGACAACTTCCAGGCTAGGAAAAAACTTTAAAAAGAAGATGCATAAGTCCTTTCCCTTCCTCTTCATGCTGGCTGAAATGTGTACACAATGGCTGGAGCTACAGCAGTCATTTTAGAACATGTGGTGCTCATGGAAACAGGACATGTGGCCTGCGTCTCTGACATGATGGGGCCTCCTGCAGAACAACAGTCCTGATGCACTAAGTAACTGCTGCCTTGTTTAAGCCACCGCTGTTAGGTGCTTTCACCCATAACCAAAGGTAACCCTGCTTTACCACTCTTGAGCACTTTGTTATATTTCTCACGAAAGCAGCCAATGGTCATAGATGATAGTGTTGGGTTGGAGTCCCACAGCTAAGCTAAGGCAATTAATTCGTGGGGTAGCTGTGTCCTTGTGAGGGGGAAGGAGTCCTTCCAGATACACAGTTGTCACCAGGAGTGTCGAATGACTGGGACACACAGACAGACAGACAGACAGAAAGACCAACCAGAGGACTGCATGAGTTTCAGCAGACAACAGATTGAACAACACTTTTCCTCCCTCCCTCTCCAGAGCTCTGGGAAATAGCCAAGTAAAATAATCCCAGGAAAATGTAAAAAAGAGGAAGAGGCACCCAGATCAGTGGGCTTGGCTCTCATGGACTTCCAGAAAATAACACAGATTCATGAACGCACACAGAGGCAGCTGTAGCTCGGTACGTGCTCAGGGGAGATGGCACGGGGCAGGGAGGAGGGATGGGGAAGAGATGCCACCCTTTCTGAGCAGCCCCCGAGGCTGCAAGGTCAGGGCCAAACGAGAGCAGAAGGGGGGACAGATTTATTTGGGGGTATGGAGGGAAGGATTGCTCATGGTGTAGACGTGTGACTCTCTGTCTGCTTCAAATCCCAACTCCTCTGAGCTTGAGACCAGGTCCATGACTTGGGGTTTGTATGCTCGTGCTGTGGACTGGTTTTTTGTGTCCCCCTAAACTCATCTGTGGAAGGCTAACTCCCAAGGTGACAGCATCAGGAAGGGGAGACGCTCAGAGCTGGAGGGTGGGGCCTTCATAATGGGATTTGTGCCCTTCTGAAGGTGCCTCCCTGAGGTCACTCGCCTGCTCCATTGCATGAGGACACAGCAATCAGAGCTGATTCCATGAACCAGGAAGTGAGGAACACAGAACCTGCCACACCGCTGTCTTGGACTTCTGGGCCTGCAGAACTGTGAGGGATGAAGTGCTGTTGTTTCTAAGCTGTCCAGTCTGTGATATCTCATTACAGCACCCCGAGATGACCTAGGCATCCTTTAGGGAACGAGGAAAGCTCGAGAGAAGGTTAGCGACCTCCGGGAGAAGCCCTCGTGCACTTGGTGTTTCTGTGTAGGTGACAGCATTGGCTTTAGTGACGGCTGCCAGTTGCCATGACTCAGCGTTCACTGCAGAACTCGAGCCAGCCTTCCCAGGAAGGAGAGAGGCCTGCTAGGTAAACAGCCTTGGGAACACAAAGAGCAGGAGCCTCGCCAGCTGCCAGCCTGCACCAGCTTTGTCTTTTATCCGTGTGTGTAAACAGGTAAGAGGAGCAGAAGGGCAGCTGTCCCCAGAAGAACCTGATCAGAGTCTAAACTAACACCTCAGAGGTACGTGAGGAGAGATTGCACCCACAGACCATGAACAGGAAACTAGAAATGATCTGCAATCAAGACAAAACTGAGAGATGAAAAATATGATTGGCAGATCTTTTTTAAAAAATTAGAAAAATCATCAAAGTAATTCCCTGACTTTAGGTTAGGAAGATAAAAAGACGGGAGGGATGAGAGGACAGCGAGGGATGTGTGCCGCCATCCGGGGATCCCCAGGGTGTGTGACAGGCTTTGAGAAGAACAGACAGAACCGAGGGAGGTATTGGCTCCCATTGCTCGTGCAATGCAGCGGTGCAGGCCCAGTGTCTTAAAGCAATGTAGATCATGGTCTGCAGCTATGGTGCTCCAGAGTCCCACCAGGAAGGTGTCAGCAGGACTGTCCCCTGCGGAGGCTGCCGCAGAGGAGCTGCTTCCTCGCCTTCTCCAGTATCTAAGGGTCATGTGCATTCCTTGGCTCCCGACCCCTTTCTCCAACTCCAAGGCCAGCACAGCAGCCTTTTCAGATGTCACTGACCCCTGCAGAGGTGCCATCGCGTTCCTTCTGTCCCTCTGCACCCATGGTTCCGACTTTGACCCGATTTTTTCCTTCCTAGCAAACCCTGTGTGATTATATGAGCTCACCAGAATAAAACAAGAAACTCTCCATGTCAAGATTTTTAACTTAAGCACATCTTCAAAGTCCCCTTCCCATATAGGATAATGTATTCACAGGCTTCAGTGATTAGTGTGTGACATGTTTGGAGGGTGATTATTGTGTATACTACAGTGGGAAATAAAATAGTAATATGTTTCAGAGTTAAACAAGAAGTGGGGTTGTTAAATGAAAATTTTCCTAAGTTGCTTAATAGCATGATTAAAAAAACAACTGCTCTCCAAATACATTGTTTGGCATTTTTAGGAAGATAAGAGGAGAGAGGTCGCTGGCCAAGGAACGAGATTAGGAGAGTGATACGCTAAAGAGATCCTTCCTCAAGGATCAAGGGGAAATTCTGTTCAATTGAAAAGACACAGCCAGCCAAACTATTAGATAAGGAAGCAAATGTTTTTTCCATATCCACTTTTATTTCAAGGAGAAAGAAAAGAAGAAGAAAAAAAGAAACTAAAATAAAAATTCAAAAACATCAATCAAGGGGTGACAATGTATGTACATTGCACATTGTCATCCCCAAATCATTCACCCAGAGCACAAGACATCTGCATTGAATGGCACAAATCTTTCTTCTCAGTGAACTCAGAGAAACCAGAAGTATAACTATCTTAACTATTTTTATATACATGTACATACTCATCTACATAAGTTGTTTTTAGCTTCTCACACTAATGAGACAATACAGTGTTTACTTATGTGCATCTTATTTTTTTCACTAATGAGAATGTTCTCAAGATGCAGCCATTTACTTATAAAAGTCTCTAGTTTATCCTTGCTTATGGTTGAGTAGTACTTGATTGTATAAAAATATCACATCTTTTTTATCCATTCCTCAGTTGATGGGCATTTAGATTGTTCCCAAGCTCTGGCTGTTACAAACTGTGCTGCTATAAACAGGTGTACACATGTATCACTGTGATATGATGTTTTTAATTCTTTGGGAAGATACCCAGAAGGGGAATAGGTGGATTGAATGGGACCTCTAGTCCTAGTTTTTTAAGGAATCTCCACACTGATTTTCACAGTGGTTGTACCAGTCTACACTCCCACCAACAGTGGGGAAGTGTTCCTTTTCCCCACAGCCCCTCCAGCATTTGTTATTGATTGATTTCTTGCTAATGACCATTTCACCTGGGGTGAAATTTTTGGTGTCATTTTAATTTGCATCTGTTGAATGACCAGTGAGGTTAAACCTTTTAAAAAATTTATATAAATTATAAATATAGTATATTTATATTATATGAATTATTATATAAATTATATAAATATATATTTTTATATTTATTTGCTGTTTGTATTTGTTCACCTGAGAAGTATGTCATCATCTCAGATGCCCATTTTTGGATTGGATCTTTAAATTTGGGAGGACTGATTTTTTTGAGTTGTTTTTTTTTTTTTTTTTTTTTTTTTTGTACTGGGGATCAAACTCACAAGCGCCTGCTTGCTAGGCAGGCACTTATGCTGCTGAGCTAAATCCCCAGCCCTATATGTTCTCAATAGTAATCCTTTGTCTGAGGAACAGCTGGCAAACATTTTCTCCCATACTGTGGGCTGTCTCTTGACTCTGTTGGTGGTTTCTCTTGCTGTGCAAAATCTTTTGAATTAAATGTGATCCCAGTTGTTGATTCTTTGTGATAGTTTCTGGGCAATCAGGGGTTTTTTTTGTTCATAAAGTCTTTGCCTACACCACTGTCTTCAAGAGTTTTACCTGCTCTATCTTCCAGTAGATTTAATGTTTCTGATTTAATATTTAGATCTTTGATACATTCTGATTTAACTAGGTGCCTGATGAAATATGTGGGTCCAGTTTTAATCTCTGGCATGTGTAGAGCCAGTTTTTCCAGCACCATTTATTAAAGAGGTCCAGTGAAAGTGTTTGGCACTTTTGTCAAAGATAAGGTGGCTTGGTTTGTTTCTGCATCTTCTAATCTGCTTCATTGATCTTTGGTCTGGTTTTTTTTTTTTTTTTGCCAGTATCACATTGTTTTTATCACAGTATCTTTATAGCATAATTTAAAATCAGAGATTGTGATACCCCCTGCCTTACCTTTGTTGCCCAGGATTATGTTTGCTGTTGTAGGTCTGTTCTAGTTCTGGATGAATTTCAGGCTTGTTTTCTCTAATTCTGTAAGTTATGCTATTGAAATTTTAATGGGGATTGCATCAAATATGTATAACACTTTTGGAAGAATGGCCATTTTTTACTACATTGGTTCTTCCTACCCAAGAGCGTGGACTATCTCTCTATTTTCTGATATCTTCTTCAATCTTCTTTTTCAGAGTTCTGTAGTTTTCAATGTAGATGTCTTTATTTTATTTTATTTTAAATTTTTTATTTTAAAAATAATAAAAGTCAACCAAATAAAGCAGAATAAATCAAATCAAAACAAAGCAGTGAAATTGGTGCAGAACTTCAAAGTAGGATAAAAGGAAAACAACAGTAGTTACCCTAATGTGTCTTGCTATTTTCACAATACTTGTCTGTTCCATCAGATACAGCAAATCAAACCAAACCAAAACAAAATAAAGTCAGTCAAAACAGAACATTGAATATAGCAAAACAATTAATTGGAACGAAACAAAACAGTGAGAACAATATTGGAATTCAAAAACGAGACAGAAGGAAAACCTCCCTACCTGCGATGTTGCATACTGTTATCCTCCCTCCAGATAGATGCTCAGGCTGCCTGCCCCAGGACTACAGAGCCAAAAAAACAAAACAAAACCAATATAAACATTCAATTGCTCTTTGTACCTCAGTTACTATCAACTCAGCCTGTCCTCCAAACCAGCTGGTTGCTTATGAAGCAGTGGTGGTGGTGGGCAGGGCTGGTGATTCTCTGCCCACATGCTGGTAGTGGGAGGTTTATCTGACTTTTCTCCTCCTGGTCCCTGCGTGGTCTGGGCCCCACGTGATCTGCAGTCTGCGTGGCTTACCAGAAAGACTGGCTGTTTGGTTTGTTGTTCGGCTCCTCCCAGTCCCAGCATGGCGCTGTCTGACTTTTCCTGGTCCCCGCGTGCCCTGCTGTAGAGGTCTTTCACATCCTTTGTTAGGCTGATTCCTGGTATTTCATTTTTTGGATGCTATCATGAAAGTGATTCTTTTCCTGATTTTACTCTCAGTGAGTTTGTTATTCATGTACAAGAAGGCTATTGATTTTTGAGTGCTGACTTTGTAACCAGCTACATTACTGAATTTGCTTATTAAATCCAGTCCTCTTTTGGTAGAGTTTCTGGGGTCTTCTGAGTAGAGTATTATGTCATCTGCAAATAATGATAATTTAACTTCTTCATTTCATGTCTTTCTTCCTTTCATTTCTTTTTCTTGTCTAGTAGTTTCAGCTAAAGTTTTCAAGACTATGTTGAATAAGAGTGGAAAGAGTGGACATCCTTGCCTTGTTCCTATTTTAGAGTAAAAGCTTTCAGTTTTTGTCTGTTTGGTATGATGTTGGCTATTGGTTTGTCATAGATGACTTTCATCAGATTGAGATAAAGACCATCTATTCTAGTTTTCTGTAGGATTTTTTTTTAATCACGAATAGGTGCTGGACTTTGTCAAAAGCTTTTCCTGCATCTATTGAGATGAACATATGATTTTTGTCCTTGACTCTATTAATATAGTATATTACACTTATCAGTTTACATAAGTCAAACTATCCCTGCATCCCTGGGATGGATCCCACTTGATCATGGTGCTTGACAATTTGCTGACAATTTTGCTTGACAATTTGCTGCAGTCTGTTAGCCAGTATCTTATTCAGGGTTTTTGCATCAGTGTTCTTTAGGGAAATTGGCCCATAATTCTCTTTCTCAGTTGGGTCCTTCTCTGATTTTGGTATCAGGGTAATGCTTTCAGCAATGAATTTGCAAGTATTGCTTCCCTTGCAATTTCATTAAAGAGTTTGAAAAGTAGTGCTGTTAGATCTTCTCTAAATTTCTTGTAGAATTCAGCAGTGAATCCATCAGGGCCTGGGCTTTTCTTTCTCAGTAGGGTTTTAAGTACATCTTTGATTTCATTTATTGATATTGGGTTATTTAGGATTTTTATATCTTCTTGACTCAACTTTGGTAATTCATATGTATTGAGGAATCTGTCCATTTTTTCTATATTTTCAGTCTTATTAGAATACAAGTTGTCAAAGTAGGTATAGATGATTTTCTGGATTTTTGCAGGGTCTGTTGTGATTTCTCCCTTTTCATTCTTAGTTGTGTGGATTTGAGTCTTTTCTATCCATTTTAAAATAAGATTGGCTAGGGGTTTGTAAGTTTTATTTAATCTTTCAAAGAGCCAACTCTTTGATTCATTGATTCTTTGTATTTTTTTTTTAGTCTCCAGTGTGTTAATTGATGCTCTGATCTTTATAATTTTCTCCCTTGTATGAGCTTTTGACTTAGCCTACTTTTATTTTCTAGATGTTTGAGGTTCAACATTAGGTTGTTTATATGTGCTTGCTCTGTTTTCCTGATATAGGTATTTACTGCTATAAATTTTCCCTCTTAAGGCTGCTTTCATTGTGCCTCACAATTTCCTGTCTGTTGTACTGTCATTATCATTGAACTGTAAAAACTGTCTAATTTCCTCTTTAATTTCATCTGTGATCCACTGGTTGTTCAGTAGGGTGCTATTTAATTTGCATATGTTTATGAAGTTCTTGTGGTTTCTTCTTGCATGGATTTCCAATTTCACTGCATTGTGGTCTGATAGTATACATGAATTCCTTTACATTTTTAAGCATGTTCTATGAGCCAATATATGGTCTATTTTGGAGAATGTACCATTTGCAGCTGAGAAGAATGTATATTTTGATCTTGTGGCATGGAATGCTCTAGAGATATCTACTAGGTCCAGTTCTCCAAAAGTTTAATTTAGTTCTGATATTTCCGTATTGATTTTTTTTTGTCTAGTTGATCTATCTTTTTGTGACAGTATGGTATTGAGGCCACTCAATACAATTGTATGAGGGCTTATTTGATTTTTCATGTCTGTTAGCAATTGTTTTATATAGTTAGATGCACTGGTATTTGTTACATATATATTTATGATTGTTATCTCTTTTTCTTGGATTTTTCCCTTTACAAGGATGTAGTAATCTCCTTTATCTCTCTTAATCAATCTTAGCTTGAAATTCATTTTGTATGTAAATAGAAGAGCTATCCCTGCTTTTTTCTGGGTTCTTGTCACATGGAATATTGTTTTCCATTGTTTGACTTGGAATCAAGTCAAAGAAGTCTATGAATTTCTTTTTGAACTAGATGTGTTTCTTAGATGCAGCATATTGTTGGATCTTGTTTCTTGATCCATTATGACAGTTTGTGTCTTTTGACTGGTGAATGTGACCATTAACATTGATGGCTATAATTGAAATGTGTTGACTTATCCTTGTTGTGTTATTTTCCTGTTGTTGGCTCTACCCCCTTTTTCTCTCTCTAATTGTTTGCCATTCCCAATGGATTCCTTCTGTTGGGGTTCATGGAGCTGTAGTCCTTATTATCTCTTTCTAGAATGTTCTTCAGAAATTTTTGGAGTACTGGTTTGGTGATCATGAATTTCCTCGAATGCTCTTTGTCATTTCTGCATGAATTTTGAAAGATAAGTTTGCAGGGGACAACCAATCTGTGTTGAAAGTTGTTTTCCACAGCCACTTGTGTGTCACCTTGTAAGCCAAAAGTGTGCACAGAGATTTCCATTCCAGGGAGAAACCTTGACACACAGCTCTGAGACTGGTAGAGCCCAACCCAGCAACCCCAAGTGGCTGGAAGCCACCTGGTAAGGTCTGTCTAAGAACCTCAACTCAAGTGGGGAAATTCCCTGCAATAAGGGTAGATATCCTCAACCCAAGAAACTGAGACCCTACTTCAGCATCCCTAAGGGAACATAAGAAAATGACAAAATGAAAGAACAAAGCGCAATCTGAAATCTCCAGCCTATCCCAAGCAAGCCTAGGACACATGGACATAGAAGAAAATGTAAGTCATACACCTGAAATTCCTGAAATGACTACAGTGACTGAAGTACAGAAACAACTCTGGGAAGCCATAAAAGAACTCAGATCAGAAATAATCTCCCAGATAAAAGAAGAAATGATAAATGTGATGAAAGAAATACTGAACACATCCAAAGAAGACATAGTTAAAAAATTAGAGGAACAATGCAAAAAGATGGAAACCTTGAATGAACAATATAAGAAACAAACAGAATTTATGAAACAGATTGAAAGAGATATACAGGAAATCAAAAATTCCATTGAAAGTTGGCAAAACTGCCTCAAAGAAAGTGAAGATAGATATTCAGACCTCAAGACAAGATCATAGCTAGTGAACAGAAAAGGAAAGATCT